TTCAAGTTATAATAAAATTGGAATGTTTATCATTAGCGAGATAAATTAGTATGTTACATTTTTTTTCTCTTTCAAAATTCCAAATAAGCTACTTATACCAATTTATACTTTTATTATTATTAGTGTTGATTTGTATGGAATGAATGGATTGATGGAATTTATGTTGAACGACAAAGAAAGGCATTCAACAAAAAAATATTGGCGTATTAATGAGAAACATTTTAAAGGCCATATTGCATTGCGTGTAAACACATTAAACAATATCACGTTGTTAATACAATGTCGACACAGTGATGGAAAGCTTTCTTCAAGGAAAATTATTCTTTCTTCTGATACCGAGGATCGAAGTATTTGGGAAAAATTAAAAACGAGTAATCCTTATTTGGGTAATCAATCAATTTCTATTTATTAATTTGATTATAATCATAATATATTAATATACTAATATTTATTCTATATATTTATATATATAGTGAAAGAAGAAACATTGCAGATGAATGGTATTGAATATGCCAAAATCTCTTTTCAACTATCATTTTTTCGGATGGTATATCCAAAAGAAGTATTATGTCCACCTACACCAAATTATCCTCATCCCACAAATCAACCAACAACTCCAGATTCAACAATCGAACCCAATTTTATAGATATTCAATCTTCTGATGAATTTGATAATACAGATAACCCTTTCGACGACGACGATGGTTGTTCTAGTAATATGGATAGTAGGATTGAAGGTCAAAGTTTTGATGAAGATAATGGAAATAATGGTAGTGGTGGTGATTACGTTACAACATCTGGCGGTAATAGTAGCAATGGTTCTCGATCAATAATTACAACGCCATCGCCTCCGCCAATATGTGAAGATTCAGAACAAGTAATTTTTGATGCTTTTGTGTCAGATGATTTGATTCAAGGATCTCACAGTCAAATCTATCAAACAAAAGTCTTCAGGGGTCATCACACGTTAACCAAGGATGCTGTTATTATGAAATCTTTTGCTTCCAAAAATTATTTTAGTAATGAAGTTTACTATCTTCAAAAATTAAGATCAGCACATGTTGTAAAGTTTATCACCTCCGATGAAGACGAGTACCTATCAATAGTGGAAGATTTTGGTAGAGCCTTGGCAAAGGAAGCTCATAAATTTAACGATACTATTAGTATTTTTAAAGTATTTAAAAATATTTGTGCGGCAGTAAAACATTGTCATGACAAAGGCGTTGTTCACATGAATATTTCTCCCAGCAATATAATTTGCAAGTCTAAAAAAGATGAAATAGACAAGATCAGATTAATAGACTTTAAATTATCAAAAGATTTAGGCGAAGATTTACAAATTGAATTGCCATCATCGTCACCAAGTTTTTTAAACAATAATCCATACAATCAATTATATAGCGTCGGTTACACTTGTCCCGAGCTAATATTATTAAACCCGCCCTTAATGTTCGCGTCTAATCAATATCAACAACAATCAATAAAACCTGGTAATATTTGTTCATACAAAATAAAGGTTAAGACAACAATTGATGTATTTAGTCTTGGTGCAATTTTATTCTTTTTGCATGTTAAACGTCCATTATATGAATCAGTCAAAAAATTGAAGTCCAGTTTAGATAATTTGAATAAAGTTTTGGATCAAGAAGATATAGAAAATCAGGTCGTTAGGAGTTTAATTGTTGGATGTTGCAAGTTCAAAGAAGATGAAAGAATATCTAGTGTTGATAAGATTTTTGAATTAATTGAAAGAATCGAGAGAGAATCTGATTTGGGAGGATATAACAGTTACGAAAATAGTAATGGCAACAATTTTAACAATGATAATAATCAGAATGATAATACCATCTTAGATAACAACAATAACAATAATGTTAGACGTAGAAATACTGGTTCAAGTACTACTAGTAATAGGAGACATGAGTTTAATAGTATGGGCAGTGGAATATTAAATGGAAGAAATGAAAGTAGCACTAATTGGTAATAGAAATTAAAAAATTATCCTAAATTTCTATATTCATGACTATTTAATTGATTTGTAATTTATTTAATTTATTTCATATTTAACTAATTATTTGATATCCCTGGCGAAAATAAAATTCATATGAAATATTTCATTGTACATAAAAAAGAGTTGATCACAACTTGTTACGCGATTACATTTCTCAATTCATGTACATAAATTTAGATGCTAATAATGCCTTATAAAAATTCGTAAAATAATTTCCGATGTCTTTGGTGGTGGTATATAGGTTAATGCTGCTGTAGCTTTCAGTTAGTATTAACAAAGAACCTATTGTTAAAGAAATTAATTTTTAAAAAGTTGCATACTCAAGGGTTGGCGCGCCTTGACGTAATAAAGATATGTTAACATTAAAGATTTCTTTGCTTGCCAATTGATTTGTTATTAAAAACAATTATCTTGTTGTCATACAATTGAATAATTAACTAATAAACAATAAAGTAATATTTCTATTTATAAGGGTTTGTAAACTGATATATGATTTGCTATTCAAGAGATAAATAACGATATTATAATTTCAGTAAATACTTACTATAAATCTGCAATCCATAAAGCTTTAGGAGATTAAGGTTTACACTATCTATTTGAGATGAGTTTTAACATTTTAGGAATTTTTATCCTGTCGTGACTGTTATTGGGAAAAAAAATTAGTTGATAAAAATTAAATTAATATGCCTTACAAATTATTAAATCTTACTCATCATGAAGCCTGTCCTTTTCTATTTATCATTTATTTAATGATTTCTAATATTCAAAATCAAGAGACACGACAATATCTCAAAAAGATTTAATTGGGTGATTCTCGCTGATATATATTAGAGCATTTTTTGTGCTATTTGTCACTTTGTTCCCAGGTTTTAAATTATCCCAAAACTCAATCAATGTATCAATTTATCTTTAATTTGATGAAATAATTGACGGAAATTGTGGAATAACAATATAAATATAATCAGCAATATAAAATCGTGTATAGATCACGTATACAGAGGCCCTGAGACATCGACAAAGACTATCCTTGTTGATAGATGACCATTTTTTACAAACTACACTGTATAGTTATTCCCTCCCATCTTCCAACAATAGGATGGATACGCCGAATGCAAGGACTTGATTGTTGCCTGAAAAAGTAATGGATGACAAGAATACATACCTTTCATGGGATGTTTTCTTAAAGAAAAAGCTATGCAAATTTATTATAATGTTTAACAAATTTTTTTATTTATTTCTATTATTTACATAACTTAAAATAGAAAACTTACCTCCAGAGTGGTGGGTAGTATCTTTGGAAGTTAATTTGATGATCATTGTAATGATTTAGAAAAAAGATCTGCACTCCAAAAAGAATTTGTTATTGTGTTTGAAGAAAGTCTCAAAATTTTACTATGCAAAATGGGTATGATTTATATGCCAAAAATGTTCTACGTAAAGAGATACACCTAAAGATGGTCTTAACTTGTAATTTCCTTTTTGGGAGTATGATACGTTTGTTTTCATTTGAAAAGGCCCATATATTTGTTTCAATTTTTGTTTGTTTATAAAATTTATTACATTCATTTCACATTTTTATTCTCTTGATTTTCATATCAAAAAAAAGAAAAAAAACTTTATAAATCTTAGGAAAAATTCTATTCTATTTATCAGTTACTCATAAAATTTATAAAAAATAATATTAAACGTAAATAATAATGGCTGAACAAATCGCCACAACAGCAACAACAACAACAACAGCTGCAATCACACCTTTTGAAATTGGAACAACCCAATTAGTCTTAAAAAACGAACAACTCTGTGAGTTTCATTGATTTTTTTTTTGACCTTGTTATGTAAACATGTATTATATACACATATATGTGTGTAATTGTATTTTACAAAGTTTGTTTAATTTATTTGTAAATGATAGATCAAGGGGAAATCCTTGGAGGAAGAAAAACCCAAACCTCCTCGTGGGAGTACTTCATACATTATGTTGGTTGTGAGTATCAAATATTCGTTTTTTAAATTTTCATTATCCATATATATATTTACTTATTTTCCATAAAAAATTCATATATACGTTAGTGGATCGTCGACTTGACGAGTGGGTAAGCCATGAAAAAATTAGTCCAATAACAAAAAGCCCTAACCCCACCATTACAAGTAAAAATGGTAATGATAATCGGGCCAACAAAAGAAGAAAAACTGCTAGTGAAAAAGAAGTTAGTATTCTAAAATAAGCATAAGAACAACTAAATAAATAGTGATATAACCAATACATCTATTAACAGCAAGGGGTGAAAGTAAGACAAACGGATTCTGTTGTGATAGGTGAACATGAAATAAAGTGCTGGTACGACTCCCCATATCCAGATCCCTATAAAAATTTAAATAAATTATATGTTTGTGAGTATTGCATGAAGTACATGAGGCTACAGGGAACATACAAGCGTCACACGGTATGTCTTATAACAATTTAATTAGTTAGTTTATGTTAGTTCATGGTTGATTGATTGGTTGATTTTTTAATTATTTATTTATATGATTGTTACATTTTTATTATATAGCAAACTTGTAGACCAGACTGCCCTGGTAAATTAATTTATGAAAAAAATAAAATAAGAATGTACGAAGTAGACGGTAAAGATTCCAAGGTAATGAATTCATTGACTGATTGATGTGATATCTTAATGGTTATAATAGTTACTAATTTCTCAAATATTCTGCCTTTAAATCATAGTTATATTGCCAGAATCTTAGCCTTTTAACAAAATTATTTATCGATGACAAGTCAGTATATTTCGACGTAGAACCTTTCATGTTCTATATTATTACAGAAATGGACGCCAGAGGCATTGAGCATTTCGTTGGCTTCTTTTCAAAGGTTAGTTATCAATCAATTAACAAATGAATTGGATATATGATTAAGATGTTTTATTATATTGTTGGAGTCGATAATATTAATATTCTCTTTCTTTTTTTATCTTTAAATTATTTACAGGAGAAAATATCTTACGATAATTATAATTTGGCGTGTGTATTGATTTTACCACCATTTCAAAAACATGGTTATGGGAAATTGTTAATAGAAGCGAGTAAGTAATTGATATAAAGATCAGATTTATTTGTATGTGATTAATATCTTGTACTAGTTTATTAAATGATTTATTAAAATTTGAAAAGGTTATGAATTTTCAAAGAGAGAGAATAAAATTGGTTCACCCGAAAAACCAATATCTGATTTAGGTCTTATGGGATTTCGTTCTTATTGGAAAAGGACAATCTTTGATTTAATTCAAAACTATATAAACTCTGCACCATATCGTGATGCAACTTCCTCCTCTACAAACACTGCCTCCTCTTCATCACCATCTTCTACATCATCGTCGTCATCGTCATCGTCCACCAACACTCCACTATCATCTTCTCAAACTAACGGGAACAATCTAAATAAATTACACACACCCCTCTCCATTAGGAAGATATCCGAAGATACGGCAATAAGTGAAGACGATGTATTAGATGCACTTAAAGAAATGGGGTTCTTGAAATATAAAAGTCCAAAGTTAGATAGTACTTACAGCCCCAAACTAAAAAGAAAATTCGATAAAATGGCCAAGGAACATACACCGGCTATCTGTATCACTGAGAGTATGATTGACGAATATGCCAAGAGTCAAGGTTCCAAGAGACAAAAAACTATGTTGGACCCTGACAGTTTGGATTGGACCCCGGCAAATGTAAAATGAAATACTCTTTGGTGATCAATTGATCGTCAAAATAAATAGTAGTTCAAATATATGAGAAAATTAAAATAAAAATCACAATTACCATCATTATTACATTACCACTTGTGGGTTTAAGAGTGGTTGAGCTTGCAGGTTTAGTTTCTGCACCTTTTGCTAGTAATGAAATTAATCAATTTACTTCTGGAAATTAGAATGAATGAATGATGAATTATTATGAATAGTGCAAAGTGATTTTGGAATAAATGTCATTATAGTTGATAAATATTACGAAGAATGAGAAGAATATAACAATAATGATGTATTAGCAAGGTTTTACAAATATCAATAATCCAAAGAATCGAAATATAACTCTCAATTGGTGTACTTATTGGCCATTTCGTCCAGATGTAATGTAGAATTAGGACTTGAGGAATTGTTTAAACATAATTTATGCCAAATCAACTAGATTTGGTCAAGAAGGTAAATTATTATTATTTTGGGAGGTTTTAATAAGTGAGAAATGTATAAAAGTATATATTTTTTAATTATGGTGTATCTTCGGTAACTATCATCATTTAATTTAGGTGTATTATGTAACATATGGAAATATATGTGTGCGTGCTTACATATAATTTTTGAAAAGCATCTTGGACGTAAAGATTAAATTTATTAGGTAGGGCTAATTAATTAATATATAATTAATTAATATCAATTAATATTGATACAAACAATAATATTGTTTTTATTTAGGCTGGTTTTATTGGTGGCGGATCAATTTGTGTAGTTGGAGTTTTATTGAAATCAATTGCTGGAATTAGAAAAGCATTTGTTGATTTTTGACTAATTATTGCAATTAATTATTTTTGATGAAATATTTAGCAACATTTGAAAAATATTCTAATTCATTATTAAACTTGTTGGATGGTGATGTTCATTTTTACCAAACTAAAGATAATAAATATTCATATATTGCCATACCAATTTATACATGTTTTTTATTTTTTTTTTATTGTAAAATAAATAAATCAATTGGAAATAAAAAAATCTTAATCGTTAGTTCGGTAGTCCGTGTAACCGATTAAATACGCGTTTTTTAATTCAATTTATTTTTTTTCATTTGCTCTTTACTCACATTAAAAAATAATAATAGACTAGAATATAATATGGAGAACGTGTTCGAGAATAAAGAAAATAAAATAGTTAAACAAAAACGATCATTATCACCGAAAAAACAACTTCAATTACAACAACAGAAAAAACAAAAACAAAGTCAATATCCACAACAAGTGATAAAAATATCACCTATCAATAATAATAATAATAAAGTTAGAGCAGAAAAGTTAATACCTATAACTCCAAGGAAATTATTCGTACTAAGTATTGAATATTCAACTTATTTTGAGAAAAATGGAAAACAGAATAACGAAAAAGTAATTTATTTATTTTATATATATCTATCTATTCGAATTTAAATATTTATATATTTCGATTATTAAATTTTTAGATGGTGCATTTATTGGACCCGATAAAAAATATCGAATGTTTTTTGCATTTACGTGATTTTTGGTACGATACTTGTGTTATGGAATGTAAGTTTATTTATTTATTAAATTTATTAAACTACTAAACTATTAAATTTTAAATTTTGGATATTATTTTAGGTGATTGTGTTAATGTAATAGGGGAGTTTGATGATGAAAATCATTGTATTGCTGATAATTCTAAAACATTGGTAATTGTAAATCCTGATCTATTATTAACCGCAACTCGTGTAGCTGATTCTTTTTCATGTTTAAGAAAAGCAATATTACAAGATCGTGTAAAAGCCAATGATTCAATCAATCCTTCTGCTATCATAGGAATTTTGTGTCATCAACTGTTTCAATCATGTCTTTCAAATCAAAATTTTTCAACAAAATTTATGGAGAAAAAATTACAAGAATTAGTCAAGCATACCACACAAAAAATTTATAGTGCTAATCTACAAGAAGAAGGGGTTATTGCTGAGTTGAGAACTATCATACCAAAATTCCAATCATGGGCAAAAACTTTCGTTGGCAATACCCCATTAAATAGCACATTCACCGATGTTAATAATTCCACAAAAGTTGCTATAAGCAAAGTTTTAAATATCGAAGAACTTATTTGGTCACCAAATTATGGTTTGAAAGGAATGATAGATGCGTCACTTGAAGCTAAAGTTTACACTGCTGCTGCTGAATTAAAGACGGTTGTTATGCCATTTGAATTGAAAACTTCAAAAAGCTCTTCATTAATCTTAAATCACAGATCCCAAACTCTCTTTTACACTCTACTAATGTCTGATCGTTATAAAGTTGGTGTTGATTCTGGTCTTCTCTACTATCCAAAATCTAATGATTGTGCCACAACAGGAAAAATGTATGCCGTCAATGCATCACATGAAGATTTGAAAGCACTTGTCATTAGGAGGAATGAGGTCGCATACTATGCAAAAAATGGTCAAATATTGCCGCCAATGCTTAAAAATGAATATGTTTGTAAAAATTGTTTTGTAAGATCTAGTTGCCTGTTGTATCATAAGGCCGTTGAGAAGGGTAATGAGGAAACAAGTGGTCTTGGCATGCTTTTTAAGCAAGAGACAGGACATCTGAATAACAAATATTCAAAATTTTTTGGTAAATGGGATAATATTATTCATAAAGAAGATATGGAGACTGATGCTGTATATGTTCGGCAACATATCTGGAATAAACCAGCGATAGAACGTGAAATTGTTGGTCAATGTTTAACTGATATGAAGCTAGAGTTGGAGAGTGTAATTGATAATTCAAAATCTGAAGAATCACGTAAATTTAGATGTAAATTTACAAAATACAATAATAATAGCAAAGATGAAAATATACATAAACTTCATCGTCGTCATCGTCATAATAATAGAAATGATAATAATGAGAACGAGATAGCAATAAATCCTATTATGAGCAGTCAATTTTGTGTTGGTGACTCTGTTGTAGTTTCATCAGAGAAAGATCAACAATATGCATTAGCATTGGGTAATGTCTATTCTCTTTCGTCTGATGCTATCTGGTTATCTTTGGATCGTGTTCCATTTAATGGTATAAGACACGAGGAGGACTTTGATATTGAATCATGCCACACTTTTGTAAGCTCACTAAATAGTAGTAGTAGTAACAGCAGCGGTGATAATGATAAGTATAATTCAATAATAACAACAACTTTTCGTATTGATCGTGACGAATCAACTCTTTCTATTAGTTTGATGATAAGACAAAATCTAGTAAAACTCTTAATGAATGTTGAAAATACTCACCTAAGGAGATTGGTGGTAGATGGTATTTTGCCAAAGTTTGATGATAATTCTGAAGAGATTAATTGTTTTGTGGAATCTGGAAAATTAAATGATAATCAAAAAAAAGCAATGAAATTGGCGTTAAATGGTATTTGTCCAAGAAAGAAACCAAAAAAAATTATAATATTTAATTTCTCATTTTACATTTTTACTAATAATATTGTTAATTTCTAGCACAAGATTATGCATTAATATTAGGAATGCCAGGAACAGGGAAAACCACTATAATTGTTGAAATAATTAAAGCATTGGTAGCAATGAACAAGTCAGTTTTAATAACAGCTTATACACACACAGCAATCGATCATATTTTACTGAAATTGGTTGATGAAGGCATTGACATCTTGAGACTTGGATCTCGTGAAAAAGTAAAACCAGAGCTTCGGAATTATACATTTGATAATTTAGCATTTGAAAGTGTTAGCAAATTGGACGAAATTATTCAAAGTAAAAAGGTTGTTGCAATAACTTGTTTAGGAGCGAATCAGTAAGTTGATGATAACAACAACAACAACAATAATATTATTGTTATTGTTATTTTTAATTTTAATTTATTTTTATATTTTTTAATTTATTGTTTTTGTTTCTCTCATCCATTCATCCATATCCAATATATTAATTAGCTGGATTTTCAAAAAGAAGCAATTTGATTATTGCATAGTTGATGAAGCTTCACAGATGATTTTACCAGTATGTATTGGACCATTATTTAATGCTAAAAGATTTCTTCTAGTTGGTGATAATTATCAATTGGCACCAATTATTCGTGATAACAAACAAGGAGCAGAAAGGGTTGAAGAGGCAACAAGTTTGTTTAGAACTTTGTTGGAGACAGCTCCATATGCAGTTGAAATTTTAACTTCCCAGTATAGAATGTCATCAGAGATCATGAGTATAACAAATATGTTAATATATAATTATAAAATGTCAACTGGTTCATCAACTATCGCAAATAGAAGACTTGAAATACCAAATTGGAATTCAAATTTTCTAGATGAATTTCACAATGACAACAACATCAACAACGTTAATAATATTTCTTGCAGTATAAATGGTGAAAAAAATTGCTGGTTAAGAAATGTATTAGATCCTGAGAGACCAGTGATTTTTGTCGACACAGATATCATTGATGGCGATGGTAATAATGGTAGTCCAAAGGAGGAGGTTGTTGGTAGCCAAATCACAAATAATTTCGAGGTTCAATTAATTTCTTTAACGATAAAAGCATTGTTAGCTGGCGGAGTTCCTGCAAAATCTATCGGAGTAATATCTATTTATCGGTCACAAATGAGACTTATAAAATGTTTGTTGGGTGATAAACAAGACGATATTGAAGTTTCAACAGTGGATAAATATCAGGGACGTGACAAGGCTTGTATTTTAGTGTCATTTGTTCGATCAAACTCTAAAGAAATGGTATGTTGCTGGACGTCAAAAATGTGTCAAATAAACATTGTAATAATAATATATTTATTAATTTTACTATATTTTTACACAATATTATAAAAGGTTGGTGAGTTGCTTACAGACTTTCGCAGATTAAATGTTGCGTTAACTAGAGCAGAATCCAAGTTAATTTTATTTGGAAGTTGTAATACTCTTAATAAGACACCGCTTTTAAGAACAATTATTTCTTTCATGGAAGAGAAAAATTGGATAATTAAAAATCAAATTTGTTGTAATAGAAATAATATTAATTTTAAATAAAACAATAATTAATTAATTAAATTATAATCAAATTCTGAGATGTTAACATCAACGAATCTGGATTATTTTTTCAATATTAATAAATTTTTAGAATTTTAAATGTTAGATGAGATTTCTATAAATTATAAAGTTCAAAGTTGTAGGAAAAACATTGACAAAATTAGCAATGATAAATCGGCGACGATAGTACTGTTGAACAATTTAAAGTTAATTTAATTGAACCATTGTTAATAGAATCTTTAATGATACTCGTTTATCCGGTTTGATTAATTAACAACAATAATAAAGAAATAATGCCAAAAATCCGAAATCTTTATATTCCAAAAAAGATTGTTTTTTTTTTTGAGGCCAAAAATCAGTAACCTTTATATTTCAAAGAAACATTAACTTTTAAAAGTTTTCTCTGTGATTTTTAAAATAATCAATGCTAATAGTTTTAACACGGTGACTTGTGCCTCCTAAAAAACATGGTAATATTTTGTGGTATAATTCGAAAATGTGAAAATGCAATCGAAGACCTTCCTGTCGACGAACCCAAATGTTTCAAACATTGAAGATAAAACCTTAGAAAAAGAAAAGTTAACGTGTGCTGCTAGTAAGCTTATCCTTAAAGTAAAGCTCCTGAATCCAGAATATAAACGATTAAATAATGCATTATCCCTTGAATGTGGAGAAGATTTCATTAAACTAGAGTATTCTTTCGATATACCTTCTGCAGAATTAGTAGGTTAAATAACAACTTTACACTTTGATAAGTTCATTCTTATCACTCAAAATAAAAAATATTTATATTGGAGGGAACGTTAGTACAACATTGACCAACTCGTTCTCTTATCGTGGATTCCTCTTTCTATTGCTGTCACTACAATTTCATCCGTTTATTTCTTCAATTGACCAATTGACAAAGATAAAAGACTGCTTGAATTGCTATCATCAAAACGTTTCGGTCATTAACCATTAAAATTTTAATAATGATATATATATATTCTTCCATCAAGGACTTTGAGATTAAAATACAACTCCAATTGTGATAAATTCAGACAGATATTAAATTCATTATGCGTGTTTACAAAAAAAAATTTTTGTTTGTAATAACGTTAATTCATTTCAACAAAATTCATAGGTTACAATTCTTTTCATATCGTTTTTTTTCATCAATTAATAACATATTTGTTATACATAAACCTGGTTCTGATTTAGAGGTTGGTAACGTTAGCCAGTTAAGATATTTTTTTAGCTGGTCAATTATTTTTTGATTAATATTAATATTAATCGGTTAATTCTGATTAACCGGTTAACCATCACAGATTCCATTTCACAGCTAATTAACTGGTTAAAGAATTTTTAGTCGGCGCCAACATCTAGTTTTGATTTCACTCCATTAATACAAAAAAAAAGAAATCATCTACCAAATGACCTTTCCATATTTTTAACTAATTCTCTTCCTTGTTTTAGATTCTTCGAAAAAAAAAAATTCTTTTAATACACTAATGACGCATTCTAAATTTTAATTTTTTTTAGAGCGTATGAAGCTAGAAAGAAAATCGAAACATTTGACCAGAATTTTGCTTGCAATAATAGTGCATGTGCAACTGAAAAGGAAGCATTGTACTTAACCAGAACTAGGTTTCTATTCGAATAAGGTTTCTATTCGAATTATTTGTTTTATTCGTTGAATAATTTCAAATGGAATGAATGAAGTGGGTAATTCCAATATGTTGTGCGTGAAAATGAAATTTATGTGAATTTGCAATTCACACATGTGAAATTCAAATTAGCCAGTCAGAAATATCCAAACACTCACCCCAAAATTTTAATTATAAATTTCAATTTCACATACAACAGTTCCAAATCTCAATAATCTTATGAATTTCTTTAGCAGTTGGATGTTTATCTGGATTAGCATCCATGCATTTGAATGCTAGTTTAATATAGAATTTGAGCATTGTTTGAAAATCCTGGTCTTACACCTTCACATATTTTCATTGCAAGATCAAAATCATGTGCCAAATTATTAAAGGTTGTTGGCCAGTTGATACTACTGACATCAGAACTCCAAAATTATATATATCTGATGCTTTTGTATATGGTTTCTCTTTTAAAACTTCTGGTGCAATATATGCTAGTACTCCAAATATATCATTTTTGTTTGATGATAGTGTTTGAGTAGCTGGGCATGATAATCCTAGGTCTGTAATATATGATAACATATCACCATATTTGCTTTCTTGAAAAATATTACCACTATGAAGATCATGATGATAATTTCTTCTTTATGAATATCTATTAAGCCATCAATAATAATTATAAAGAACTTTAATTTTATATTCCCATGTTAAATTTTTAAATCTTTTGTTAAATAAACTTGAAGGCTTCCATCTTCTATATAATCCATTACAAACATATATTCTTTTATAATTGGATCTTGTGTTAATCCATAAATTTTAATTATATATAATTGATCACGAAGCTTTGTATAATTTTTGAACTAAAAAAAAAATATATTGAATTTCAGAATAATATTTAAAAAATCTAAAATAATAAAAGAACAAAATAATTTACCTTATTAAGAAATTTATCAGAAATATTTAGTGAATTATGTAGTTTTTTTAATGTCACAGGCATATCTCACTAGCTCTTTTATTTTTATAATTTAGATATTTCTCACCCTTTTAACCAAGTAGCTTTGTATATAGTTGCAAACCCACCTTCACCCCATCTTTTCAATATTTGTTAGATCATTATAAGGAATCCATTGAAGATAACAATTATTCCAATATGTTGTTGCCTTAAGTTGTGTGATTTTAATCAACTCATCTAATGTTTCATTGCCACTAGTCCATCCTTCAGTTAATAGCTTTGGGTCACATGATTGTCCATAGGTATTCTAATATTTTTTTCTTTTCTCCGAATATTTGTCATCATCATTTTTGTCAATAAAAAAGTATCATCATGGCGTTTATTTTCGTCCAAATTGTTTTCCATCTCTAAAAATTTATTTCTTTTATGATTTGTGTACCTGAATTACGGCAATTTGGCATTACGTAAATAAATTCAGCATGATGTGGCTCATTATAACGTGATCTGTCTACATGGATATAATAGAAATTCATTGAATTCCCGAAGTATGCAAATAGATAGTGCGACTGCAAAATAAATCATGATACGATTAATGAAATCAGCAAAGAAAAGGTCATGTCAAACAAAGAGACCAATCGAAACAATTAATTAATGACCATTTAAGAACCCATCTATCTTGTTAAATGGCTATTCGTAGAAAAAGAAAAAGAAAAATCTAGAAAATGGGTCGAGAGGAATTACCTTTTTAATAATCAAGAGGCCAACATTATTAAATCTTAATTGAAATTATGATTGCTAATTGCAATTCATTTTCATGGAAAATGTGGTGTAAAGGATTTTTCGGTTTGGAATCATGCAATCAGAACTTGTTAAGACGATTCTTTGATAAATTTTATTATCAGTTGCTGATTTAATATATGATCGGAATGGCACGTTTGCTGCGCGATGGATTTTGACGAACAATTTTCGTGCCTCTAAGTAAAAACAATCACGCACATTTGCCTTTTAAAATGCAAGCTTTATGTGCCAGTAGCTCTTCCGGTTGTGAAGTAATAGCCTCAAAGAAACCTATATTTTTTGACTTCGGAATCTTAATTCTTTTCGGAAGACGGCTTTATTCTTTGAATTTAAAGCCTTTTTTTATTCATTCTTATGTGAAGAAATTTAGGACAGTATGAATTAATAACAAAAATAAGAAAACACAAGATAATTTCAAAATTGAATGATAAAAAAGAAAATTTTTAAACTTAGGTATCAAAAATTATATCAAAGAATATATTCAATATTAATTATTTTTTTTGTCAATATTTAGTTGATTATTTGTTTGCATGTTAAAAGTAACTAGGTATCCTGAAAAATTTGTTGAAAGTGATTATATGACCAAACGATGTACCACTAAAGAAGGAGGAAAGGAACTATGATTTCATTGAGCTTTATGTTAACATCGTTAACATCACAAAATTTTCTTTTTCTTTTCATATTATCATACTCATAATCTCTAAATTACTGAATGTCCATATAATGATGTTTTTTTATTTAGCAGGACATGAAATAATTATTGTTAGCAACTTGGGCATTTTATTGTTTATCTAAGGATCTAGTAGTTTAAATGTAAAGATTTGTACCAACGTTAGAACAAATAAATTCATTGGAAGTTTTAACAAAGTGATTATTTAGATATTATTTTATAATATATATATATAAAATATTTTTTAAAAAATAGTTCTAGTTTACACTTCATGAAGCAAATAAGGATCTCACAACTAATAGATATTTAGTTCTGTTGTGTGTGAAAATGAAATTAGTCAATTAAAGGGAGTTTCGCTCCCATATTTGATTTAATTATTATCCCATACACATATATATTAACTACATTAAAATACATGTATTTTTTTATATCTATTAGGGAGCATTAATATTTATTCATTTCACAATATGGTGTCAATCTGGGTACAGATGCTAGAGAATACAAACTGTAACATTGGTTTAATGATAACCTACTAAGACATATCAATTGTGAATTATGTCTTTTATAACAGGCCCAAGATCATGTATTGTAATAAAGTGACATTTAGTGAAATGAAAATTTCTTAACAATATTCTATTTACAGATATAATAACAGGCTACACACCTTTGATCGTTATAAATTCCCTCTAGTTTCAGGTACATGAATGCACTTCAATGTATAATTCCAAGCATCCTTACAAATTTTTCCTTCCCTTGTTATGTCTTCCAAATAATGGTCATTGCAATGTTGCTTTTTACAACCAAAAAATAAAATCATTCTATTTTATTTTGACAATTTTTAAAGATATAATAAAAAGTTTATTTTATTAGAATGTTAATATTGTATTGGTTTTATTCAATGAAATCATTTCAAAAATAATAATACAATCAAGCTTTGGCTTGAAATCAAATCTTAACAAAAATATTCACCTAATCCATCAAAATTCTCTTTATTGTCAATGAAAAAAAAAAAGTAAAGGAAATTAGTATATTTCAACTAGATTTATTAAAATGCAAAGCATTTTTTCAACTATTAAGTAGCATAGGATCTAGTTCTTTACTAATTTATACACTTCTAATTCTTCTATCAAATGAACCATTTTATTTCTATTACTAGGATTCAAGTCATTGTTGTTATCATAAATTTATAGTAACAATAAGGTTCATTATTAACACTGTTATATAACCGTAAGTCATGAAAATTAATCTTATCTCTGGTAATATTAACCTTTTGTTCACGATGCTACATTTTCTCAGCTCTATTTAATATTGAATTATTTGCTTGATTTCCATCAATTTGAAAATAAAACAATCCGTTTTAATAAAATAAGAGGGGTTTCTTTTTTATTCCAACAAACTGGATTATAACCACCAACTAGTTCTCCTGTTTCTTTTATTTTCATTATAGATACAGTTTGTTCTATCCTCAAAAACAGACCTAGAAAATCCATCTAAAGTGTCCCGGTGAATTAATTCAAAATTCATAAGGTATATTGTTTTCATCATATAGATTATTTTTGCAATCAACCTAAGGTTGCTTGCCGAAACCTCTTAGTGACTGTTGAAACTCTGTCAAAAATCTAATGAACAATTAGTATATACCTTGTCAAAACTCTGGCAATTGGCAAAACCCCCAAATGCGAAACAATTAATGTGTAACCTGTCGAAACTCTGTTGATTGATTCCTGGAGGAGTTCCGCCCACAACCTTAAATCAACCCAACTTGAAATCAAGGATTCCATTTATAAATTTAATAATTTTCCTTTTCTTGTTTTTAATCTTGGACCTTTTTGAAGTATAATCTTGGTTGGTGTCTTGTGAGTAATATGGTATTGAAGAAGTTCTTCATATATTTCGTTATTAAGGATTTTTATAAGTTTTGATTTTATCACAAAAATCAATAGTGGAAATTTCATAAAATCTTATTAATGGAATACTATCATCTAATGCATTTTTTCCTCATTGGATGACATTACTCCGAATATCAATTTCATTTAATTTCAAATCATCTTTTCCTAACACAGTTATTAGCATAGTCTTTTCAATATCTTTGAAATCCTTAGATTTAAAAAATAATTTTGGATCTTTATTAATTATTTCACTAAAATAATTTTGAAGCAAGTTGAATGATTGATGATGTGATGAAATTTGGTGAATGCAAATTAAATATTGTTGAACCCATTCTTTTTTTTGATTAATCAAAATAGTTTTGTAAGTCATTAATTAATTCATTAAAGTTTAATTTATCGCATGCTTCAAGAAGTTCAAAAATTTCATTTCCATCCAGATTATCTATATTAAAAGTTCCATTGTAAATATACCTATAAAACAAAACAAATAAACTATTATAATCATTCAATTTGTTTATTTATTAATTAATTAAAATTAATAAAAATTAAATAATCTTACAATAAAAAAACCTCAAATACATTTGGAGAAATATTTTCTTTTTCAAATAAAATAACACCATCATCTGTTTTTTTTATCCAGTAATTTGGTAAAGCAGCCTTAAAATACAGAGACCTTGCTTTTAAGATGCTAGAATGAGCTTTAAAATTTTTGATATCCTCATCTACTCCAACTCTAAATTCTTCACCATAAAATCTGGTTCATTCAATAACTTTGTTAAATCATTTACAAGTTTACTAATGTATTTCAGTGGCAGGGAATCATTTTTTGTATTAATTAGGTTGCCAAATAGCAAGTTTAAATTTTCTAATGATGAAAAACAAGTTGACATTTTGTTTAATTTATAAAAAAAAATATACAAGGTTATTTTTTTTTTGTTAAATTGTTAAAAATATAAAGATTCAAGACCATTTTGAATTTATAGTTTTTCAATTGAGTACGTATCTAAAAGTTAAACAAATAAAAATAGAAAAAGATTCGCATTAAAAACTCTAAAATAGTATAATACAAGCTCTTTCTATTATTGATAATAATAAAAAAAATGGTTGCAATGTGGTTTTATTATGGCGTGCCAGAGTGGACAAAAGTTTAAGGCTGAACCTCAAGTGACTTGGGGTTTATCCTCAAGAAATTTCCTTTTTTGGGTCTATTTTATCGCTTCATGTAACAAAATTAAGCCTTCCTTTCTTTTTAAAGTTTTTAATTTATTTTACCTTTTTTTTATACCCAAGACACTTGAAAGTAAAATCCAAGCACTTGAGGATATTCTCAAGCTATACAAAAAGTATTGATACCAAAAATGTAAATTTTTTAGTAATAACAATGCTAATGGTAACTTAAATGGAAATGGTATCTTTTTAATAGAAACAACAATTTTAATGGCAATAGTAATGTTAATAATATCAGGTTAATTCCAGATGTTAGTTGATTGATGGAATTTTCGTGGCTCAAATTCAAAAGCGTAAACGATCAGATACTTATGTACTATACCATATGCAGTAGAATAAGAAAATATAGCAATATCTTTGTTAGAGGTACAACTGGTATAGAAAGGATTATTGGTAATCAAACCCAAACATATTATATAGCAATTTGGAATTAGCCAAAAATCAAAGAAAAATTTATACACTGTTTTCAAAGACATAGATTAAAAGATTAAAAAACAATAACGACAATAATAATAATCATCCTACTACACCTACTACCTTTAATTCTTCTAATTCATCATTTCCTGTATTTAATTCTCCTTCTTCTCTTAGTAATTCTGCTCTTCTCTTAGTAATTCTTTTTCTCCTCCTCTTAGTAGTTCTTTCTTCTAATTATATCCAATAAAAGTTTGGTATTAACACAAAGAACAAAGTTTTAATGCATTCAGGTAGATTATCATCAATTGATTATTGAAATTTAATATTAACAAAATTATATATGCTTTATAAAAATCCTATTATAAAATATTACGCACACGCATTTTCATGCGAAGTTACATAATTACCTGCATTTAAAAGTAGTGTGACTATTAAAATTATCAATATTGGGCGATTTTTTTTTTATAAACCTGAATAAAGAAATTCCAAAAAAAATTTTTTTAAAAAACAAATTTTTATCAATTTGTTTTAAATTCAAACTGTATATAAAATAAAATTAATTGTTCAAGATGAAAGAAACTACGAATGATGAATACTCGTATTGCAGAAAAGCAAGTTATGGTACATGCCCAACTTGCAATAGATATAACACGTATTTTTCATGGTGTCGATCATGTGATCCAAAATTATTAATTCGAGGATGGACTAGTGGTATTGAAGTAATTGATGAATTAATTAAAAGTACACAGGTAGAAGCTATGAAATACGATAATGCTCATTACCTTGAATGGGTTCATTATGAAGATTTAAAAGATATTGAAAAAATAGGCGAAGGTGGTTTTGCAACTATATACAAAGCTACTTGGATAAATGGGAAAAAATATATAGATTATGAAACCAGAAAAAGATGTAATCAAGATAAAATTGTAGCATTAAAAAAATTACATAATTCACAAAACCCTTCAGATGAATTTTTAAACGAGGTAAAAAAATTTTTTTTTAGAAAAAAAGATAACTAACTATCTAGTAAATTAATAATTATATTCTATCTTATTTTATTTTGTCAGCTCAAGAATTATGTTACGTTTAATTATAATAAGTTAAACATAATTACAATTTATGGATTAGCACAAGATCCCATCACAAAAGAATATATGTTTGTAATGCAATATATGGAAGATGGAAGTCTTCTTAATTATTTAACAAAAGAATTTAAAAATTTAAAATGGAAGGATAAAATTACAACTCTTTATAACATTATTGTTGGTTTGAGAAATATTCATCAACAGACAGTTATTCATTGTGATCTTCACTGTGGCAATATACTTCATGAAAAACATAATGGGAACAATTGCGCATATATTGCAGATTTAGGGTTGTCAATTCCAGCTAATCTGACATCCCCATCTTTATCGACTTCGTCATCTTTATCTTCATCTTCATCCTCGTCCTCATCTTCATCCTCATCTTCATCTTCATATTCATCAACAGATAACAATACTATACATGGAGTATTGCCATATGTGGCACCAGAAGTATTAAGAGGTAATCAATATACAATGGCATCAGATATTTATAGTTTTGGGGTATTAATGTCAGTATTATCAACTGGAAAACAGCCATTTAGCGATATCCCACATGATGTAAGCCTTGCAATGAGAATATGTAGCGGAACAAGACCTGAATTTTCAAGAAATACTCCAAAATTTTTTATAGAATTAGCATATAGATGCATGGATGCTGATCCTAGTAAACGTCCGACTGCAAAAGAAATTAGAAAAATCATTGAAGTTTGGAATAAGTCATTTGGATATTATTTAACCAGTTCAGACAAACATCTTTTTTATTCTAAAAAACAGCTTGATGAATTATTGCCTCTCAGAAAAGAATTTGATAAAATGGATAAAATTTCTTTTGATCCATCAACAATCACAACAAAAATTCATCCAAATGCTATTTACACTAGTAGATTATTGAATTTTACCAATCTTCCTGAACCTGTGAATTCTAGAAAAGTCACGATTATTAACAATTATAATGGTAATTATTAATTTCATTAATTAGTTAAGTCAATAATTTATATCAACATCCGTACTAATAACATTAACAAATTTATAGACTCCCATCAGATTGATTTAACTATACCGGATGAATTACCCTAAAGGATGTAAATCTTGTAAATACTTATTTTGTAATTTATATTATCATTAGATGTAGAAAAAAATTTTATTTTTTTAAAAGTAATTTATTAATAATAATGTATCATAAAAAATACTATTGTACACGAAAGGGTTGTCTTGTGCCGCGTCATAACTTTTGAAAGAACATGTTTACAATTTAAATTTTTTCTAGTAATTTATAAATTTATATATTAATAACCTTATAAATAATAATTTTTTTTTCCATATATACTTTAATACATAATTTTCCTATTAATTGAAAATAAAATTGTTGGATTCATTATTATTTAATAACCTTATAAATAACTATAAATCAGTCCCTTATAATTAAGAGCAAAATTTTTCCAACACAACCTTCCAAATGGTTATAAGCGACTTTGTAGGGAACACTTTGGCACAACCGTTGCCGCTGAATTTGCTTTAGCCTGCATACTAGTTGAGCGATAATCTTAGAATAAGTGTGAAGAAAAGAAACACTTCTGACCTAGCGTAGAATAACCAATACTTGAGCTAGCCTTTTCTTTTAATTGTTGATAAAAGTCCTAGTCTGGCTCTAAAAATTTTATTATAGTTGAAAATCGCTTGCTATATGAAAAACGGAGATTTTTTTTTTGAAGTGGACGATAATAATTTTATTCGTGTAACGTTTATATTGAATTACACTTGATCTGCAATGTCCCACGACTAATACAGATCTCTAAGGTTCATAAATTATTTTTCCTTATGAATAATAAATCTGATGTTGATTACAAGTGTCAGATTTAATTAAAATTTCCTATCACAAACATGCAAGACTGTGCAATTAAGCACAATCAGCGCAATGGAATTTTTTTCCCACAGGTGAAGTGGACTTAAACATGTTGGAAGGCTTTGGACAATACTTTTCCTTATCTTCCCCCTCAGACCAGGCTGGCTGTTACCATATGGGCATTGATCACTGATAGCTGGTGCTTGTGTGATGATTGCTTTGTGTTACCACCCTCTCACACTAGAATAAAGTTGATTTAATTAACAAGTTCAGTTGGTCAAACAAAAATTAGAGAAACAGAAAATTTATGAAAATGATTAATTTATACATAGCATACCAATCTGAACCATTTTATTTTGCAGCTTTCACCTTGATCATGGTGACTATCACAATAGGAGTAGGCAGAGTTGAACTGTCACCTTTATACTTGTAAGATACATGCTCTCATTTAGCTACTCTCCTCTATCCTAGAGTGGGTCAAACCATTTTATGACTTTTTCCTTATTGGCCATATTGCCGACAAAAATGTGTATAAACATGCAATAATTTTAATCTATAGGACAGGGGATTGATTGGGCAAAAATCCATTCAGTCCCCTACCCAACATTATAAATTGGTTAGTATCAAAGAAACAGAGAATTTAGAAAAATAATTATACAAAACAAATACTATTTTACAACTTTCCTCTTAACATCAGTGCCAAACCCACTCTGAATTGTAACCTCCTACACTTGAAACGAGTTGCAGATTCTCGTTGCTTTGATGTTTATGTGCACCTAATATCACAACTTTGCTGCAGATTTGCAACTTGGTCACAGATTCATCCTTGCCCTAGAGGTAGGATCGTTGCGGGCAACTTTTAATCCAACATGCCAGCAGCCTTCTCTGGTCTGGGTGCTGTGAGGGAAGATTATGAAAACGTCATTGACGATTGGTGCAGTCTTGGTAAACTCCAGATCCACGCGCCTTCTGGAATTCAGTTGCATCATCATATCTTCGGGTCGCCAGGTCAAGATTAGCCTTGTGTACACGAGGAAGATGTGAATGACTGTAAAGTGTTTAAAGTAGCATGAGTGCTTTAATGCCTGCAAATTCCCGATAATCAAACATCGCATACTTGAATTGTTTCCTCTGCAACAGTCAGTCATGCTGCCTTGATATCTTGTAATTAGTTATAGTAATATTAATGTTATTATTGATAACAATTACGAAAAGCAAAACACCAATCGTTCATTTGTTTATTATCTTGATAAGAATCTTATAATTATCCAGCAAGATCTGCTCCGCGTTTTGATTTCCAATTAAAATATTTATAAACTAAAATGAAAATATCAATACAAATAAAAAATAGTACCTCTGGTTAGTTATTAACACTTCTTCTTTAGGAGAGCCACGTTTTGTCTGTCAAAAAATAAATTGTTTTCCAAAAAAAAAAAATCGGTTCGCGTCAACAAAAAAAAAATCCATTAATGTTGTATATACGCGTTGGTCGATTGATTAACAATCTTTTTTTTTAAAATTTAAAAGATGCCACGACAACAGGGCTGGAAATAGGGTCTGAAAAAAAAAAATTTTCAAATTTTTCAAATTTTCTTTATTTTATTCTTCTGTTTTTACTTTGAAAAAATTTACTAAGAGCATCATTAAAATCGTAACAAAATAAATCAGTACCTTCTAAACCAACCATCATTAATGAGTGCAATATGTCATTTTCTATTGCATTACATAATCTGTTTACTAAAACCTCTTTCACAATCTACACTAGAAAATGGAATCGAATGCACTATTTCTATAAGTTTTTAAGATATGAATAAGACTTGGAAGTTCGGAAATTGGAATATTTTCTTTTGCCATCCAGTAAATCATTTTCATTATATTAATTATATGTTTGTTACCATTATTAGTGGCTTTTTTGGAAGAATCTTGCATGGTTATTCTTGCCTTTTCTAGAAGCAAAAAACCATCATGTTGGTTTGAAAGTGCATGAGTTGCTAGAGCAGTAATTTTTTGATCCTAAATAATAACATTAAAGTATAGCAAATTAATAATTGCAAAATTAATTATATTTATTTGTCACCTTTTTCTGCAAATTGATTTTTTTTCCCATGTGCTTTACAAATTGTGCAAAACATTCTCTTTATTGCTGTTGTACATGAAAATGAAATTATGTGAATTCGCAATTCACATACAACATTGCTGCATCATATTTTAACCATTTATATGTGTTTAGCCATTCATGATGAAAACTTCTTCCTGATTTTTAAAATGCACTTTTTTATTTGACATTTTAATATGGTTTTCACTTAATTCACTTTTTTTTATTTGATCTTTTTGAAGTATCATCATTATCTGAGCCTTGAATTGTCAAATCATCTGAACCTTCTATATCTGTTTCATTCATAAATGCTTCATCCCAAATTTCAGTGGTTAGATTATCTAATTCCTCTTATTCTAT